ACACCCTTGCGTGAACCCAAAGCACCACCGTTTTCAATTTGGCATACTAGGGTATCACCCTGAATTTCCTTAACGATCAAGGCCGGGCTTTACGACCTTAACAATATTTGCATAGTCCACGTAGGTGATATCTTTGTTGCCCTTCTCGATGTAATCCGGATTGGTGGATAGCTTAATGAGCTCATTCGTTTTCAACTCAACACCACCACTGCCGCTGCCCTCAATCAGGCCACTACGGATCTAAGGCCTTTGGTTCCAAAGCGACGGCAATTGGATATTCATAACCAATCTTGGCAGAATAGTTTTTAGCAGCAGAGCGCACGTTGGCTACAGTTTCGCCATGGTATTCATGCGAACCGTGGGAGAAGTTCATGCGTGCAATGTTCATGCCGGTTGCCATCATTTTCTCCAGCATTTCAACGCTACGCGAGACAGGTCCAATGGTGCAAACCATACCGGATAGGCGTACATGTGCCACGGCAGTCGAACTGCAAGCGGCATATTTGATCTGAGTTTCAGCTTCAGCGGCCATCTTTTGGGGAACTTCGTTCTTCTATTTTTCAACACGGCAAATGAGAATTTTGGTCTGACGTGGCGTGTCCAGTAAACTTAATTTAACTACAAATGCAATTTGCTATGGTGCGCAACTGAGACTGGCAATTTCATGTTTAAAACCGTGTATGGAATTCTCTCCACTAAACTAAGAACCACTTTGATCAAAAGCTGCTTGCAGTTCGCCAAAATTGTTCAGTTGCCAGGCGGGAACGCGTATTTTCGCCCTTTCTTACAATACGAATCTGAAAATGAAATGAATGAATTGAATAACACTAATAATTTACTAATTACTACTAAACTTACTACGTGCCACAGTATACAGTAAACCAGCAATCGCCAATATGCTTATTTGAAAATTAATACATGAAATATTGTGCATGTATAGGATTATTTTGTCATTAACCAATGACTGGTGCAAAAGTACCCCCAAATGTTTGTTGATATATTTGAATTGTAAATTTTAACAGTGAAATTCGTAAAGAAAATAATAAAACAAAAATAATGTTGATTACTACATGGGAGGTGGTCGTGGTTATAGACAGATTTCACCAAAATTAAATACTAACCTAAATTATACCAAAGGCAACTTCGGCACCGACTTTCGTTAAAATATCTAAATTTTGTTCGAGTTAGCGTGTTTACAAACAGACACGACTGAACCAATTCATTTCGTCATTCTGAATATTTTGATAAACATGTATTTAAGAATATGTGTATATACATTTTATACCATTGAAAAACGGCCTTGCTTATCTGCATAAACCTTTCCTGCATTAGTTCGAGCGTCGATATACAACTTTGGGTACATATTTCATAAAATCTTTGGAGGTCTCCACTATAAGAGTGGTATATTTTTAAATTAGAGAGTTCTACCTTTAAGCTAAGTAATACTAGTTTTACCCCCTAATTTATGGGTCCATTTTCCAAAATCAGCCCACCATTATTCACTCAAAGTTGTGTTTGGAACCAGATATGACTTATGTAGGAACTGCATCCGGTTATAATCGCTTACGCTGCAAGCCTGATTTGCTAGGAATTTTGTTTTTCTCGTTGTTTTATTTTATGTGTCTTGAAAATATTTTCCACTATAAGAAAATATTGAAATTGGATTTCATTTGGGTAAAAGAAAACGACAACTAAAACTATAAAATATCAACCAATACATTCAAATAAATTGTCAAATAAGCATATTTACAATTTTTGTTTTGCCTCTCTGGATTACTGTATACTGTGCCACGTGCCAAATCCAGAATGAAATTTTCAGTCCTTCAGGAAGTTATTGCTGTGTCAAAACTTTGACATACGGTATTAGCTCAAAGTTTGACATACGTGATTGGGCGAAATACGAGCCTTCATAAATGTATGGCAAGCAGCACCATCTGGTTGTCAGCTGCACAACTTGATAATAGGTGCGTTCGTTTAAAATCTCCAGTAAAAACCAACCAACTGCCAAATTCCGGCGAAATGTCATCTGTTCTCTCACAAGAGAAAAATATCCCAAATAGTACGCGAACAGAAAATTTGCAGAAACTTGCAAGTTAGATGAACAGCTGATATCATTTTTGTTTACATTCAAAAGTGTAAAATTTAAAACGTACGAAAAGCCATCACAAAGTGTTATACTGACACAGTTTATTGATTAAACAAATAACTACTTATTTCTTACAAGTTTAATTAGTCGCATTTTGTAATTTTTAACTTCCAAACCATCAAATTCAATTTTGTGATTTGCGTAAATGCCAACCAGCTGTTTTTGATCAGCTGTTTTCCTGTTGGCAAATTGCTGTTGGCAAAAATTTTTCCAGCAGAAACCAGCAGCTTCCCCTCAAAATGAAATGTCACTTTGCTCTCTCAATTTCCCCTACTTTGCAAGTTTTTTGCGTACGCGAACGCAAAAACTTGTAAGTTTTGGTTAAACATGAACAATTAACAGCTACGCGAACGCAACTAATAAACTGCGATCAAAATGTATTTTGTGATGCATGCTGTACAGTGTTGCCAGGTGATTTTAGTGAGAAAGCGTCAGTTTGGTTATCAAAAAGCGTCTTTTGCATGTAAAAATCGTCAACATATATGAATTTGAATAAACTGAACCAGGAAGCCTTTGGATCCTTTTTTTCATTTATGCTAGCTTCTGATTGCTGGATATAAGAACAAAAAGTCTTACTTTGTTGTACGAATTTTTAAAAATTCGCATTTCCCTTAACAAAATATTTTTAATTGGAATAAAATCACAGTTTAATCTTCATTTCTTTCTTCTCAAACTGGAACTTCACTATGTGCATTAAAATTTGTTCATACTTACTTAGTGTCTACCTGGCAACACTGATGTAGTATTTACTGGCTTAGCCCGGTCTCGAACCCATAGTGAGGAAGTTTTCTTTCGCCGTGCCAGGCCAAGTGGTGAAACTCACCACAAGACCGCAAATGACACTTTTTACGAGATTACAAATTTCACGGTGTGTTCGGGGAAATAGTGATCGAAAAATTTGTACTACATAAAGGTCTGTTCGATGCAAAAGCAAATGGCAACAAATGTAATGGAATAAAATCTTATAACGATGGTCACCTTCCACAGATCTCTTTTATACCCAAACACGAAACCTTACGCTCAAAGTCATAGAAAATAAAGAAAACTTTAACCGCTTTTTAAATTGAAACTTTTTTATAAAAACGCCACTTTGTAGAGCTCTGTAAGTCTATTTATTTTTTAGGAGTAAGACCATTAGTCTATACTTAATACCGCACAAGTACGCGGAGACTGAAATCTGAATTGGCCCAGTTTTGTACTTCGCCAAGTCAAAACAAATTAAATAAATAAACAAGTAGTATATATATATATATGTACATAAGTTTATCACACGTATATATAAAATGTGCTTTCACGAGACATACAGGCATACATATATTCGCCACTTGCCACCCAACCCAAAACTAATAGTACGTAACTTTTTACACCTACGGACATAACTACGAGACTCATTTACAGAATGACTCGTTTCTCGACCAATCGCGCACATGCGGAAGAACGCGCTGATAAATTTACGGTTCTATGCCGGTTATGCGGCGGAGCGCATGGCATTCGACTATGTCCCCTTTACCCCGGCAAAGCGGTCGAAGCAAGGCTGCGTGCAGTCCTGCTGCATACATATAGCCTAAACTGCCTCTCGCCGTTCCACCGCCTCGACATGTGCAGCAGCACGGATAGATGCCACGGATGTCGCGAAAAGCATCACACCTCGCTCCATCTCGATGACTGAGAAGACCAAAGGCACCCAGCGAACGCGATTAACGACGGTGAGAGCTCGGACGGGGCACTCTCTATCGACGTTACGGAGAAGACGAAGTCGTGGGCGCAGCAGGTCGAAGAGGAGGAGTTGGAGGAATTAGAGAGGACAGACTCTTCCCCACATGAGCGACAAAAGCGCAACTCTGGAACTGGCACACCGAGACCAATAGACCAGTTACCACCACGCGCGGTCGACGCGGAAACTCGTTCTTTCCGCTCGCCAACGCGTACACAACACAACTGGCGCGACGCGGAAACTCGTTCTTTCCGCTCGCAAACGCGTCAGCAATACAACCGACGCGACGCGGAAACTCGTTCTTTCCGCTCGCAAACGCGTCAGCAATACAACGACGCGACGCGGAAACTCGTTCTTTCCGCTCGCAAACGCGTCAACAACACAACTGGCGGCAACACGGCGGCGCGGAAACCAGTCCTTTCCGCCCGTCATCACGATCGCAACGCAAGCCAAAACGACGCAACAGCGCGGAAACTCGTACTTTCCGCTCGTCTAGGTTACGCAAAGCAGCACCATACCACAAAACTCGCACAAACGACAGCAACATTAATAGTCGTGCCTTACAACGCGCTCCACCGACCGGCTTCCGAACGGGCCGCCTAGTGCAAAGCGCCATATCAACGCCGATCATTCGTGCGCTTATCCCCATCGCGCCGACCGCAATAGTGCGGATTGAAGCAAGGGGCCGCCTTCATTTGGTCCGCGCAATGATTGACCCTTGCGCACCAAACTCAATGGTGTATTCGGAACTGGTGAGAGATCTCCAACTTGAACGCAACGGATCAGGACGTCTGCAGCGTTGCACGATCACCATGCGAGGAAGATACGGCAGCTCCGACCGCATTACGACACAAGCAGTCGTGCTGGACCACCATATACGCCTGAGTCCACCGTCGAACCTGCACCCTAAGGTTGCGGCCCCCTTCCAGTACATGCGATTGGCGGATCCGCAATTCTTTCGCACGTCACCAATACGCCTCACACTAGGCCTCGATTTGCATGTGGAGATGATGGTGAGCGGGACCCCCCGTCTACCGTGAGTGGTCCAGGCGACCATATACGGCCTTGTTATTTCGAGAGCCTGCCAACCATAAACGTAGATATTAAGAAAACAAAACCACACATACACACACCCTCATCACACACACACACACATTAAAATCTAAATAAAAAAGTGCATTGAAATTCCAAACCGCGTCTGTTTCAATTAACGATGTCCTTTTCTCTTTCTGTCGCGACGAAAGCGTGGGCGAATAAGCTGATCCGCGCAGTACAAAATCCGCGCTACATAGTTGAATAACATAAGACTTGCCCCACGTGCGTGTGACGGTTGAGACGCGACTCCTTTTTTTCACAGCTTGCTTACCGCAAGGGGGCCGGTATGTTTAGGACCTCGACCTAAATATATTGCACCACCCTAATACGCGTTTTGTCACTTCATGTAAGAGCACACAAACATATATATAAGTTACGGCTAACTTTCCAGCCGCTAACAATGAGCCCCACTGTACGGTAACTTGGTTGAGGGGAAACTTAAGCAGTGTTTGCATTATTCAACTTTGCGTTCAACATTTGCGTTCAACTCAGCGCAGGGTTGCACGAAAAAAACGTTGAATGGCTAAAAATATAAAAATATGAAAAAATATCAAAATGTTCGCCATAAAAAGGTGTTTGCATTGTTCAACTTTGCATTCAACTTTTGGTTGAATGGCCTTTCAACTAATCGCTTTCAACAAAGTTGGTCGCCAGCCAACATTTAGCCATTCACCTTTTTTT